GAATCTGCATGGGAGAGGGGAGAGGGGATGGGGACGCAGAACAGAAGGGAATATCAGCAAGCATTTCATGAACCAAGTTCAATAGCACTCTGTAGTTCACTGATGTAACCTGCCCTGGAGAACAGAATCACTTCCCTGTCACTCTAGCCTGTGTGGGCTGCTTGCTGCTGGGAAGAGGGCCTGGAGACCCCTTCAGAAGGCATGTCCAGGATCCAGTAACCTAGCTGAGCAGCTGATTATGGCTAAATCATGTCTGGGGTGGAAGGAAGGGAGAAGGTTGGAGCAATCATGGGCATGGCGAGAGAGGAAGAAACCAACAGAATGGACCTTCTGCTCGCCATTGTCCCTCACAAGCAGTAGTAAGCAATGCAGCCTCACTGCAGCCCGATGTGGACTTACAGGCAATGCGAGAAACTTTTCTCTTTCACTTCTGCTCTCTCCTTCATGGAAACCTGACACCCCAGGTCAAGCCACACCATTGCTTTCTGGTGCTGGCCTGCTCAGAATATTGCATTCAAATGCCCAATTCAAGCCATAAATCTCCCACATCTCCCATAAACCATATGGCATTTGAGCTAAGCATTGTAAGAGGAACAGCAGGACTCCTAGTACATCAGGTTAGCAAGGTCACTGCTGACCATGCATCAAGAACACATATCAATACAGTTCAGGGAGGAGGAAAGGCATGAGTCATGGCCTCGGATCCACCTACTCTAGTCCCCCTCAACTCTGTGCCAGGGTTTGCAGGAGGAGTGCCTGTAGATACTGTTGTCATGCTTTAGTTTTAGGTTAGCTAAAAACTAACTAACGATTACTCAATTCAGTTAAAATGGTGGGCCCAAGTGTGCATTTAGAAACTACTATTGTTGGAATCGGTGTCATGGTATAGCAGGTTAAGACGCAGGCCTGCAGTTCCAGCATCCCATATAGGCACCAGTTTGAGTCTAGGCTGCTCCACTTCCAATCCAGCTCCCTGATAATGTGCCTAGGAAAGCAGCAAAAGATGGCCCAAGTGTTTGGGCCCCTGCCACACACTTGAGAAACCCAGATGAAGCTCTTGGCTTCGGCCTGGCCCAGAACTGTTCGTTGTAGCCATTTGGAGAGTGAACCAGCGGATGGAAGATCTCTCTCTGTATGTCTCTCTTTCTCTCTCACTGTGTAACTTTACCTTTCAAATAAAAATAAATAAATCTTTAAAAAAATTACTATTGTTATACATGTATACATACGTGCCTTTTCCCTCTTAGAAGGACATAAAATATTCAAACACTGTAAGCACTGTGACAAATTGCTTAGTCATGCATGACAAAATTCCACAGGAATGGCCTTTATGTGATGAGGCAAGGTTGAACATGAAAATCAAGGAAGCTACACAAAGGCCAGGCTAGATTTCCCTCTATCACTAACAACAAGGCAACAGGGGCAAATGTGCCTTTGCAGAGGCTAAAATAGCCTGGTTTTGGATTGGATGTTCTACTCTTCAAATGCCTCTCTCCTCCCACATGCACAGCCATAACTTTACAACTTATAATTCCTATGAAATCTGGGGTATGTTTGAAGAAGTAGCTTTAATGATCAAACATCTGAGTTTCAAAAGGGCAGGAAGAGAGATGAGTTATTTAACCCAGTGAGACTATGCCTTTCAAATTTGAGCTTCAATTCACTGCTAGGATAATGATGGTGGCCACTCTCCACCCTGAGCCCTGGTCTGCCATTTCAGCATGGTCTCCTCTTGATTCTCAGGGTGTGTTTCTGCTTCCTCTGGGGCATCAGTGTTACCAGCACAACTTGCCATTTATGAGCTACTCACACAAACACGATGCTTCACCATCTCGGCTCTCACTCAAGGTTCACTCAGGAAAGTCCTTCATACTCCCTCTGCTTTCTGTGTAAATCACATTATTGGAAACTTTTATTTCAGTTGTCTGATTGCTTGGAACCAAGCAAGTATTTTATTTTTTAATTTAGGTTCTTCTGGTTGACTCAAAGAGATATATGGATATGAGACATTCCCCAATACAAGGATGGGGCCAGGAAGTGGATATAAATTAAGTCATTAGTTGCCTTGGCTTTTGAAAATAATACCAATTTTATTTTTCCTACAACTATGAAAGTCAAAAGCTTCAAAGCTCTATGCCATATCAGGAAAAAGGTAACATCATGGCTTAACCACTATCACCAACTCTTAATTGTCCTCCAGCACTTTCGCTGTACGTATGCAAACCTGATGGGAAAGAAATGCCATGGAATCCCTCAGGGAATAGCAGAGACCACTCCCAACTATGCTGGAAGCCCCTGTAGAAGAAACCTCTTGAACTTTGTATAAGTAACCTTCCCCCACATGACAGGGCAAGACACACAATAGATATTCAAGAAATAACTATTCACTGATTGATCTTTCTTCATCTTCACCCATGAGTTTGGAAGAGAAACAGCAAAGAAGCGTGAAGATATTTCGCACTGGAAATTATCAGTTGAGAAATGAGGCTGTGAAAAACTGCACAAGGGCAAAGGTCATCCTGATGGAGAAAAAACTGTGTGTGAGACAACTACTGGACTTCCAAGGCTCGAGATTCGTATTTGCCAGTGGACGGCAAACATTTCCTAAAATCAAGGTCGACCAAACTGGCCTTCTTTGTTTCCACATGAACACAGTAGAAAGGGTCTGATCTGACAATCTATCTCAGCTATGAGGGGTGGGGTTCTCCTCCCCTCCCCCGTATTCTATTTTTTTTTTTAACCCTTTGAATGCAATCCACTGAAGGCCTGCCCCAAAGTGCCTCCCAAACAGCGGTGGGAGCGCTCTGGGAAGCCCTTGCGGAAACACTTGGCGGAACTTTGTTCTCCTCACGGACTATTTAGCAGCGGTTTGGTTTCCACCGGGGGATTCCACGGCCTCCTCACTCTTCTCTCCAGGCAAACAGGAACCAAGCGTGGTGATGCTGCCAGGCGGGCCAGGGAGGCGCTGGCCATGGTCCTGACCTCCGAGCTCGGGACCTGGGCGGAGAGGGCGCCGGAGCAGGTGCGGCGCCGAGCGGCGGTCCGAGCCCTCGCCCCTCCCGACCCCCCGGGAGCCCGCGGGCCTCCACGCCAACCTCCACCGCACGCTCCGAGCTGCATCAAAAAAAGGGTGGGGCTCCCAGCCACAACTGCAACCCGAAGCCGCCGGCCCGGGAGGACTTAAGAAGAATGGAACCGCGGCCCACCCCTCTCCCAGGGCGACCCCCTCTCCTCCCAGACCCCGATCGGCCAGTCCCTGACGCCCATCCACTTCCCAACCCCCGAGCCCGGGGAAGCGCGAGCAGCCTTTGTGGGCGCACGGCCGCCCACCGCCGCGCCCTGCGCGCAGAAGGGGCGGGCAGGGTGGGGTGCGCGTGCGGAGGCGGAGAGGCCGCGGTCGCGGCAGGGCACGAAGGCAGGCGCCCAGGCTGCAGGGGCGAGGGGCGAGCTGGCGCCCGAGCGCCCGCACCCACTTACCTCCCCGCACACACCCACCTGGTCGTAGATGTTCTGTAGGGCTTCCTTGCCCGAGGCCCGCCGTATCTCCACCTTCCTGCCGGATTCAACAGATGGCTCCCCGCCGGCGCGCCGGCCCTGCCGCGAGTACGGCGTCTGAGGGTCCGGGCCCAAGTGGGCGACGTCCCGCTGCTGGGCCACCACCTGCCCCGAGCCCCGGCCCACCGACAGCGAATCGAAGTCGATGGTCTTGTTCTCCGAGGACCCTTCCACCGGGCAGAACATGCCACAGAATTTCTGCCGCGGCTTGGGGCTGCCCGAGCCCAGATTTTTAAAAAAGGCAGGGACCTCTTCGTCCTCTGCCGCCTTCCCGGACTGCTTCCTCTCGGCCATGGCGCGGGGCTGGGGAGGGTCCCGTCCGTGCGTGCGTGCGCTGGTCCTTCAGGCTCCCTCTCCGCGTGCACAGACCGCGCTGCCGCTCTCTGCCCACCGCAAGGTGCACAGAAAGGAAGGCGGGCTGGCGAGCGGGCGACCCACCCTCCCGGCCCCGCCCCCTGACCCCGCTCTCTCCCCTCCCTGCCCACGCCCCCCGCGCAAGCTAGCGGCAAAGTTGAGTCTGGGAGGGCCGCCGCTGCGGCAGCCGGAGCCGAGACGCGGCCGGTTCCCGGCAACGTGGGGCGGGGCGGGGCGCGCGCGGGACCCGGGCGGGGGGGGGGGGGAGGGCGGCGCCTCGCGGAGCCCCGCGCTCCGGAAGTGAAGCGGCCAGACCCCCGGCTAATGGATGCGGAGCGCAGGGCGCGCTCGCCGCTCTCGGCGCCACCGTAAGTAGCAGGCCGAGCACGCGCGGAGAGGACCCATGGGCGCAGCCCCGGCGCCCCGCTCCCCCGCCACATTGCGGAGTGGGTCGGGGGCGAGGCCGCAGAACTCTCCCCCCCGCCCCGCTCCGTTTTACCCGGGTGGGAGCTGGTGGAGGGGGAAGGGGCGACCAGCTTATTTAGGCACCGGGATTGTCACAGGGAAGGCGTGGCGGAGAGGGTGGCAGTAGGAGTGGGAAAGGTGTGGCGCAGGCGGCGCCGACCGCACCGGGGGACCCCCCAGGCTCGCCGACGCTAGTACTGCCGTGCACCGACGCCGAGGGGGGCGGCAGGAAGCAGAGACCCGCGAGAAGGTTCTCGCAGGTTGCACGTGGTGGAGGGTGCGGAGGCCGAGAGTAAAGCGCAGGGGCGTTGCAAAGTGGAAGACGGGGTAGCGTAGCGAGACGCAGGTGGACGGTTTGTGTGAGCGTAGGCAAGACTGCAGCCTGCACGTGCCAGCCCAGCGGAATCTGCAGAGAGAGGTTGCAGAGTCGCTGTATTGCCTGAGGGCCGCCATGCCGCCTCTGCGCCAAGATTTGGTATCTTCCATCTCCCCCGCCAAAAAAAAAAAAAAAAGGTGGGGGAGAAGCGGGGTGAGGGCCACTCCCTAAGCCTTCAGCCTGCTCCCGCATCCGGGCACTGTGTCTGTGCCCCCTCCCCTCGCCCCTGTTGGCGCAGTGCGCCAGAGCGGCGGGCGGAGGAGGTGCCTCGATCTGTGCGGCGCCCCGCGGAGACCAGGTGCGGACCGCGGCGCCGGCGGCGCGGCTCTCCGGGGCGCATGGCGATTCGTGTGGATGAGGCTGGCCCTGCCATGCTCGTCTCCACGGCCTTCCCCCGTTTCAGCCCCTCCTTTAGCAGTGTGCTGAGGGAGGTCGGCGCTGAGAGAGGCAGCAGACCACGGGCCCGGTGACCGAAGACTCAGCCCGCACCCCCAGAAGGATGAAATTAAACCACGCTTCCCCACAGGGCGAGGCCCGGTCGGTCGGCTGAATAAAGTTTGGAGGAGAACCAGTCAGTCTGTGGGGACGGCGTCTCCGCCAAGTGGGAGGGGCCGAGGAGCCAGGCAGGCATTTTGAATCCCCGCACCAGATGTGCTTTGCATTTGAATAAAGCGCTTCTCTCTGAGTTACATCATTTCCTACTCACCGCAGTCCTGGGAGAGGACGGGTTTTATCACCAGGGCTTTCCAGGTTAGGAAACTGAAATTCAGGGAGATTGGAGGCATGCTGCCCAAATCTAGTGAAATGACCCAGTAATAACAGTGTGGGGGGGGGGTCTTCCGGCTCCAACTGCGGGTGTGGTTCCCTGAAATGTGAAAAAACTCAAGAGTCGGACATTTTTTCCACATCCAGGGGTTTCCATCTGGGGCCCTATTCCACGTTAAATGCATTGCCCTCGCCATCTTTCTAATTGAGGGGCAAGGAGGGATGGCACTTGAGAGAGTGGTCCCAAGGTGACAGCTACGTGGGTCTTAGAGGTGTTGCTTTCTGAGCGTTCAAAGCCTTTCCTCCAAGGGGCAGGAAGGCCAGCCCCATGGTGTAGAAGGGAGAAGTTCATCATGGAAGAGCCAGGAGTCTCCAGCCCCCGGAGCTGCTCAGCGCAGACTTCCCTGGCACCTTCCAGATGGACGCGGTATGTCTGCCGCTGGTATAGCTGCAGGTGACTTCTGTGGCATCTGGACGGCTGATGGAAGTTTTCAGGCCAAAGAGGAAATGATCTTAGCTCCCTGACACACCCTCCCCAGTGCTGATGATCGCAGTCCACAAGCAACAGTGGTGGTCTCCCCAAGAGTGTATCATCATGACCATCCTGGTTTGTGTCAGTCACTCAGTGGTGTTCACCCAAGGTCCAGATCACAGTGCCTTTCTCTGAACAAATCTTCACCACTAAGCCGCACGTGACTGAGGGCATTAGGAACTCTTGCCTCCCCAAGTTCAACGCTGGGAAGAAAGTGTTGTGTTAATAACTTACTCTTATCAGCCCTAAAGGTGTTCATATCTGGCTAAAAAGCCTATGAGAGTATCTCAGGCATGGAAAGCCAAGACACTGTGGCAAAAAATGACCTAAGTAAAAGATCTCTGTGAGTGAGATCCCAGCGGAAAGAATGGGCCGTCAAAGAAGGAGGTACCTTTCCCTGAAGGGAGGAGAGAACTTCCACTTTGATTATGGCCTTGTCTAAATAAGATCAGAGTTGGCGAACTTAAGAGACTTCCATAGCCTTGGCAGCTCCTGATGACAAGAGCCTTGGGTGACTACTGACGTCATAAATAAGAGTGTCAATTGTTAACAACAGGAGTCACTGTGCACTTACTCCCCATGTAGGACCTCTATCTTTAATGTGTTGTACTATGCGAATTAACAGTAAAACTAGTCTTCAAACAGTACTTTACACTTTGTGTGTCTGTGTGGGTGCAAACTGTTGAAATCTTTACTTAGGATAGAGTTGATCTTCGGTATATAAAGATAATTAAAAATGAATCTTCATGAAGAATGGGGTGGGAGAGGGAGAAGGAAATGGGATGGTTTGCGGGTGGGAAGCTGGGTGTGGTGGGAAGAATCACTATCATATAAAAGTTGTACTTTTGAAATTTATATTTATTAAATAAAAGTTTTCTATTAAAAAGAACTTATTCATAGCACAAAAAAAAACACCTACTTGTGCATTTGCAGAGCCTCACCAGGCATACTAAAAGGGAATTAATTGATAATTCCAAAGTAACTCATTCATCCCTGAGCTTTGTCTAGTTCTTATACCTATATTTTAAATGTACACGTGATTCTTGGTTGGATTTTTTTTTTATCAAGGGAAGCAACAATATTACTGAGTAGATGTAATTGAATTATGAAGGGTTGTCCTTTTTTGAGTAATTGCACTTTAGAATCATCAGCACTGGATATTAGCGAGGCCTAAAAACATGTTATTTATGTGTAAAGGTCTGCTTGACGTGGCTGAAGCACCACTGCAAAGAGGCGACTGACAGCTTCCTGTGCTTGACTCTCAAAGAACATTCTGGAACACGTAAGCAGGTATCTAGCCACATCTAATTTTGTCTTTCATAGGAAAAATGAAAAGTCCGTTCCTGCCCACAGCTGGGATTCAGACATATTTTTTTAAAGATTTATTTATTTGAGAGGTAGAGTTACAGACAGAGAGAGGCTGAGAGAGAGAGAGAGAGGTCTTCCTTCTGTTGGTTCACTCCCCAAGTGGCCACAATGGCCGGAGCTGCACTGATCTGAAGCCAGGAGCCAAGTGCTTCGTCCCTATCTCCCATGTGGGTACAGGGGCCCAAACATTTGAACCATCTTCTACTGCCTTCCCAGGCCATATCAGAGAGCTGGATCAGAAGTGGAGCAGCCGGGACTCGAACCGGTACCCATATGGGATGCCAGCACTGCAGGCAGCGGCTTTACCCACTGCACCACAGTGCTGGCCCCAGGGATTCAGACATTATAATCAACATATCTGATGAGTGGATGGGGGGAAGCCAGATTGCAGTGGAATCCCCAGGAGGAGAAAAGTCAGAGTAGAGCAAAGAAGAGGTCTGACAGTGGGATGGACACTGTGACAGTGTGAGGGAGGACGCCCTGCTGCTCCCCAAACTAGAGTACAGATGCTTCCTAGCAAGAAGAGGGCTGTGTGGTAAAACAACCTTGTCTCACCCAGAGTCTGAGCCGCCCTGCAGTGAGGCTTCTCCAAGAGTGCTGGGTGCCAGAGAGGAAGACGCTGTCCCACCAGCAGAAATCGCTGTGCCGGTGAGAAACAGCTGCAGAGCCACAGGTGGTGCCTGGGACACCATTCGCCCACCGTGGGAGGTGCTGAGCTCATGCCAGTTGGGAAAGCAAGGGCCATTCATTAGTCCAGAAGCCTTTGAGACCACTAGTGGAGTGCCCTAGCCTGAGACTGGGTCACGTGTAATAGCTCGTCCGGGACACTATCAACCCAAAGGTGGTGGGTATCCACATCACCAACTAGCGGGTACCCACTGAGGGAGGGTGAGTGACTCTTCGAAGCCATGGCACTGGCACTGTTCGAGGACTGGTGCAGGATAATGAGTGTGGAGGAGCAGAAATCCCTGATGGTTACAGGCATACCCCTGGACTGCACTGAGCCTGAGATCCTGGAGGTCCTGCAGGAGACTTTAAAGTGTCTGGGCGGGTTCAGACTGCTTGGCAAGATCTTCCGCAAGCAGGAGAATGCCAGTGCTGTCTTGTTAGAGCTTATGGAAGACGCGGAGGCCTCAGCGATCCCCAGCGAGGTTCAGGGAAGAGGGGGTGCTTGGAAAGTGATCTTTAAGACCCCTAACCAGGACACGGAATTTCTTGAAAGACTGAACCTCTTTCTGGAAAAAGAGGGGCAGACGATCTCCAGTATGTTCCGAGCCCTGGAGCACAAGGGATTGTCTCCGTCCACTGGGCCCTGCACATCGCCTGAGTTATTGGCCCATTTTCTGGGACAGGCAATGGCCCATGCTCCTCAGCCCCTGCTACCCATGAGATACCGGAAGCTGAGAGTGTTCTCCGGGAGCACTGTGCCAGCCCCGGAGGAGGAGCCCTTTGAGGTCTGGTTGGAACAGGCCACTGAGATAGTCAAGGAGTGGCCGATAGCAGAGGCCGAGAAGAAGAGGTGGCTGACGGAGAGTCTGCGTGGCCCGGCGCTCGACCTCATGCGCATAGTGCAGGCAGACAACCCATCCATCAGTGTGCATGAGTGTCTGGAGGCGTTTAAGCAAGTATTTGGGAGCCTAGAAAGCCGCAGGAGCTCCCAGGTAAGATACCTGAATACCTATCAGCAGGAAGGAGAGACGGTCTCAGCATACGTGTTACGCTTAGAAACCCTGCTCCAGAGAGCCGTGGAGAAACGAGCCATCTCGAAGAGCATCACAGACCAGGTCCGCTTGGAGCAGATCTTAGCCGGGGCCAGACTCAACCAGGCACTCTGGTGTCGGCTCAGGGAGCTGAAGGAGGAGTGCCCACCGCCCAGCTTCCTGGAGCTGATGAAGGTCATACGGGAAGAGGAGGAGGAAGACGCCTCCTATGACAGTGAGAGTATGGAGGAGCAGGATGACTGAAAAACCACCTGGGAGCAGGACCCAGCCTGGGGATCCAGCGACATGCACTTTAGGCTGTGACCTTCACAGTTTGTCTGCCTTCTATGTATGGATTGAAATCCAGGCTTTTCAGACGATTATTGAGTTTTCTAAGAAAAAAATATCAGAGTTCCTTAGACCTGTGTAGGTTAATGATAAGCAAAATATTATATTGCAAATGTTAGATAGTAAACCTAAAGGAATCAGAAATGCCAGTACTTCCTGTTTCCTTTAAATATCCCCAAATAGACCAAAGTTTACCCATATCATAGAAGAAAGAATTGACATTAGAGAGAAAAAAAAAGAGATAGCTTTTGGAATTGTTTGAAAACAAAGCTGATTGGCTTGTCACGTGGTCTCATGTCTCAGATCAGATTCTCTGAGTACAAAACCAGAGCTACTACCTATGGCTAAGTAGTTATAAATCTACAAAATGGGCCATGCCCTCGGAGTTTCCAGTTTAACGAAGAATTGGCCTAAAAGCTTAAATAACCATATGGGGATTCTTTTAAAAGTTTTGGGGAAATCTCTGTTATCAAACTATGCAAGGATTTCAAAAATGTTTTTGTACCAAAATATACTTACCTTTTTAATAATAATTTTTTTTTTACTTGAGAGTTGCTGAGATAGAGCAGCCATCCTCAGGTTCACTCCCCAGGTGCCCACAGTGGCCGGGGCTGGACCTGCCAGGGATTGGAATCACAGTCCAGGTCTCCCACATGTGTGGTGGGAACCCTGTCACTTGAACCATCACTTCTGCCTCCCCAGGTCTACTTCAGCAGGAACTGGAGCTGGGAATTGAGCCCGGGTTCTCCAGTGTGGGACATGGGCATCTTGTTGTTGTTATTGTTGTTGTTGTTAAGAAAACACTTTTTAAAATTTTATTTTCATTTTATTTGAAAAGTAAAGAGACAGAGACAGAGATCATCTATCTACTGGTTGACTCTCCATATGCCCTTAATAGGGCTGAGCCAGGAGCCCAATCCAGGTCTCCACGTGGGCAGCAGGGGCCCAAGTACTTGAGTCACCACCTGCTGCCTTCCAGGCTCCCATTAGCAGGAAGCTGTATTGGAAGCAGAGGAGCCAGGACTCAAACTAGGCACTCTGATATGGGATGCCGGTGTTGCAAGCAGTAACAACCACTAGGCCAAACACCTGTTCCCATGTTCCCAGGGACTTTTCTAAGACCCCTCACATGTAAATAAGTTCACAGCCCCAGTAGAAGTTTCCTGGTCAAATGAATAGGGCCATCACCACCTTTAGGTTTCCTTTGGGTATCTGGGAAGTGCTCCTCCCACCTCTCTGCCGGATGTCAGATAGATGGTTCCAGAATGAGATGCTGTGTCGGGTCTTGAAGACGCAGATCGCTTGGCCTAATCCCCCCTTTCAAGAGGTCCACTGCTTTCAAGGTGCCCTCCAGCTCACGGTGGACATTAGGGGACAGCGTGCATGAGAGAAGGGGTGTCCAGGAATGTTTGGGTTTAGTGAGCAGACCAGTCTGCTTAGGGTAGAATGGTCTCAGTGGTGACAGACGAGGGGACCTGCCGTGTGGAAGACATCTCATGCATATCTCGTTTTGTGTGTCCAGCAGCCCTATTGTGGTATAATTTCGCTCTTCATAAGGAGGAAGTGCTCTCCTCAACACCCAAATGCAAGTGACAGTCTAGACAGAAGCCCAGAAACTAGTGACATGCTAGCCCACTCTCCACCATCATGCTGGCTTTCAAATTGTGCGGTGTAGTTAGACATATTTTTCAGCAGTTCTGTCTTCCAAATGTACTTTAAACTCTTTAAGTAACTAGTAATAACAGACTCAAATGTTATTTGATAACCAAAATTTAACACATCGACGTTCACCAACAGGTCTGCTTGTATTTGCTTGTTGGCTCATTTTGTGTAGGCTTTGAAACAAAGCTGCCTTTAGGGTAGCTGTGCACGCATACTCTTCCTCTAGCTTTTCATAGCTTTCAAAAGCTGTAGCACCTCATTTTAAACCAGGCCCACACAGATCATGTCAGGTATGCTAGGACAGCATAAGTGAGCACCATTTAGTTACGTGATTGGCAGAGCTCCCAGCCAGTGCTGTGTAGCCTTACAGTAGGTCTGTGCCTCGTGTATAAATTGCTTAGCTTCTCACAGTTTCTCAATGAAAGATGGGAAGGTTAGGGAGTGGGTTGTGAGGATCAAATGACATCATACCTTTTCAGCACTTGGCATGATGCCTATTGTGGATAGCCCGCAATAGGTTGAGGCTCTTGGGATTTCCATGAAGCTTACTCTCTGCCCAGTGCATGCTTTCATTCTGATAGTTCTGCAGCAACAAATAAGTCATCTTCCGGCCAAGTTGTGCTACCGTTGAATTATAAACATTCCCATTCTTACTGTAAATTTGAGTGTTGTCTCAGATGAGTACTCCAGCAATGGTACATGATTGTTGGTACTTTGACTTTGAAACAATAATTTGTTCTTTCTGATTGTGGGTCAGTTAACTGAAGAATATCCTGAGATTGTTAAGAAAAGCATTTTTAAATGCTACCATTTGTCATCATTTATCTTTCTAAAGTGTATTTCTTGATACTGTTTGACCACAGTGATATAATTGTCATCCCTTGCACTTGGAATTCCTGTGTTTTTGTGTTCATGAAAATAGCTTTATTGTCATTTATTGATGATCTGCAAATTAAAATGTTTTCAATGTGAAGCCATAAAATAAATATATACTAATAAAACCCTAAGTTGTGTTAGGATTCTTTTATTGTGGTCTAAATAAAGAATATATTATTTGAAGAAAGAGGCTAATCACTTAAGAGAGAGACAGAGAGAAAAGCTAAAGCCAAAAGGTCTTGAACTCCTGTAGATGAGAAAACCTGAGAGCAGCCTGGTGGACAGAATACTTGGCTGTCTCCAGGGAGGTGAGAGCACAGTCCACCATCATTGATTTCCCTTTTAGACAGAAATAACAGACCGGTTCTCTCCAAGACCACCAACTCATTTGCTTCGGAAAGTAGCTAACCAGATAAATCCACCAGCCTCCATTCTGCTAAGGGAGAGATGACCTAAAGGAGGAATGCTGCATGTCTGGGGCTGAAGTCAGCTTTGACCGTATAGAGATGGGGGTGGGGGGGGATTCCCTTACCTTTGGGAATTTCTATAGCACAGTGAGGGCATATTCCTCATCAGGCCACACACACTGCAGACCAGTTTATTAGGATGAGTATCCTGAGGGATGCCCAACTCCATCCCCATCACTTGTGCAAAATCCTCCATGCATGGAGTCTCCCTTACCACTTCCTGGGTTTCCATCGTAGATGCTCAGTCTGATCTCTCCATTATGCACTCACCACTGCTGAAGATTACCTTCCACCTGGTGTAAACACCATCACCTGACACCTGCAACCAGCCATTCCTGCCCTGCCTCGAATCCTATAATCTTCTGCTGTCTGTCCTAATGTGGAACCCTGATGGGCAGGTCTCTGCCTTACCCTCATTTCCATGCTATGCTGTGCTGCCAACGCATCCTACCATGTCCTAGACATATGAGCCCCCACCTGTGGTCTTGATGCAGTATCCCACCTAGGTATTCCTGAAATGAACTCTGCTCTTCCTAGCATTCTGTCACCCTGGCTACTCGGGGTCCCCCAGCTCAGGAGACCGATGGCAGCGTTTTTTCTGCTCCACCTTCACGTGCCCACTTGCATATATGTTACTCCTTCCTGGCATATGCTCACCCTCTGTACCCCGCCACACACTGTGGAGAGGTACTGACAAGCCTGGACAATGACATGACAAAGAACAGGGACAAAGCAAGCCCTTGTGGAGAGGGGTCCGTTTTGCACTGAAACCGCCTGGGCGTTATCCAGAGCAACAGAGCAGGAAGGGAAATGTAATGAATATAAGCTGGGTGCAAGGAGTCCTGGAAGACTGGGAAAACGAAAAGGGTCCTAGGGGCTGGTGCTGTGGAGCAGCAGGTGAAGCTGCCGCCTCCAGTGCCAGCATTCCATGTGGGCGCCGATTCGAATCCTGGCTGCTCCACTTCTGATCCAGCTCTCAGCTGTGGCCTGGGAAAGCAGTGGAAGATGGCCCAAGTGCTTGGGTGCCTGCACCCGCATGGGAGACCCAGGACAAGCTCCTGGCTCCTGGTTTCCAATCAATAGCCCAGCTCTGGCCATTGCGGCTCTTTGGGGAGTAAACCAGCGGGTGGAAGCCTCTCTCTCTGCCTCTGCCTCTCTGTAACTCTGCCTTTCAAATAAGTAAAGAAATCTAAAAAAAGAAATGAGGGTTTATAAGCTAGCGTTCTGAAAGAGCAGAATCTGAAGGAAAACACAGAAGAATAGTGAGAGGGTCTGAGGCATGTACTGTCAGACCGGCTTTACCTTCACCGCCAACAAAATCCCTGGAAGTCTAAGGGCCCAGGGTCAGGCAGATGTCTCTCCCCTCCCTTCTTGGTCAGGTGATCCAGGAGTTCCTTTGGTTTTCCCGAGGAAGATTTGCCCTTGTTGAGTAGCGCTCCAAGTGGAAGATGATGCCCTTGGGTCCAGCTCCTCAGAAGCCAGCCTTCCCAGCTGACCAAGCCCTGGAGCTGTCCTGGTCCACACCTACAGGGCACCACTATCCCGCTGTGCCCAAGTGCTCCTTGACAGCTCAGGTGGACCTATCCTTGTATTAGAGTAACTACAGAAGGCTATGCAAAATCAATTTTATTGCAAGAAAAGGGGTGTAGGCTTTCAGTCTGGCTTTCAGCATACCTGCTGGAGCCACGCATTAATTGTCTGCACTGCCTTAAGCAGGCTTTTTTCTGATCTGTGACCCTCCCCTTTGAAGGTAAGAGTTACCAAAGGAATGGGCTTACTGGACTGTGCCATGGTGCTGAGAGCACTCAGAGCCACTGCAAATAAACCTCGTACCATTCCACCCAGACCTGCCCCTGCTCAGTGTGGCCTAAGGGCTGTCCCAATGCAGGCCTGTTCTGACTTCAGCAGCTTTCCCAACAAACTCAGTTACTAAAATGAGATCTTTCCTGAACCAACACACAGTTGTCACAGAAGTCAACTTTATGCTGTAAGTGACCAAACACAAGACCACGGAAGCCAGCTTGTAGAGTGAGGGAGGCTGAGTTGTACTGATGAGCCGTCACATTTCACCACCTGGTCACCTCCCGCTCAGAGGTGTCAGCCTCTGACACTGAGACTGGGGACCTTGCTCACTAATCCACGAAGTGATTGGCAGACAGTTTAAACATTCCGTTTATGAAGTTCCTATATGAGCCTAAGGCAGTCGTAAATGCATGTGCTAGGTGTGCTGCCATCTTGGGGAAAAGCATCTGCCAACCCAGAATGGCCAGAGACATTTCCAAGTACAAGATGACTTATGGGTCTAAAGTTAGGGTAGCAATTCATAGCATTACCGAGCCATATCACTGGTCTGAGTTTGTGTCCCACAAGTAGCAACGAAGGATAAGAAACAAGGCTTTGTTAAAGTAGGAAGGGGGCTGCTTGACAGAGACAAGAAATCCCTAAGTCGTGTTTCCCCATGGTTCCATCAGCAGAATTCCTTGACTAAGCCTGTTCTCGGGTTCTTTGATGTTCAGTGACATGATCTGAAATGTATTCACGGAATATTACATTAATGCAATTTAGGAATCCATCAAGGTTACAGTAGGAGTGGGCATTTGGCCTAGCGCTTAAGTCACTGACTCAGATGCCTGTGTCCCACATCACAGTACCTGGGTTCAGTTTCCAGCTACAGCTCCTGTCTCTAGCTTCTTGCTATTGCCCACCCTGGGAGGCAGTGATGATGGCTCAAATAATTGGCTCCCTGCTACCCACATAGGAAACCTAGGCTGAGTTCCCATCTCCCAGCTTCAGCCTGGCCCACTCTGTTGTAGCCATTACAGGTACTTGGGGAATAAACCAGTGGATGGGACACCCTGCCCCCAAGCACCAATCCACATGCGTTTGTTTTTATTATTCATGTTTGAAGCTACTTGTACCACTTCGTGTGTGAGTATATTGTGTGTATGCCTTCTCTTTACCGATCTTTCTTTGCTTTACTCTTCCCTCTTCACATTCCTTCTTCTCTTCTACAATGAGAATGTCTAATTTCTTTATTCTCTTCCCTCCTGTGCTAGTTTTGAAGCCACAGTATACAGTTCTGTTATTTTCCAATGGTTATTTTATAAGGACATGAAGCTAAGTTTTCGCTAGGAATCTAACATTAATCAACCTTTCACCCCCCTCTGGCAAAAATGCTACAACTGTAGATAATAATCCAGCATTATACAGCGTCTCTTCCTCTACTTTCTTTCCCACCTTCTGTCTTTTGGAGAAAACAACTTCAGAAAAGCAACCATTGGGGATGACGCTGTGGCACAGCAGGTTAAAGCCCTGGCCTGCAGCACTGGCATTTCATGTTGGCACCGGTTCAGGTCCTGGCTACTCCACTTCCAATCGGCTCTCTGCTGTGGCCTAGGAAAGCAGTGTAGGATGGCCCAGCACCCATGGGAGAGACCCGGAGGACACTCCTGGCTCCTGGCTTCGGATCAGCTCAGCCTGGCCATCGCAGTCATTTGGGGAGTGAACCAGCAGATGGAAGACCTCTCTCTCTTTCTGGCTCTAACTCTCTCTCTCTGTAGCTCTGCCTTTCAAATAAGTAAAATAAATTTTTTTAAAAAATAAATAAAAAGCAACCATCTCACTGATAAAAACGACAGAATCTGTTTTTTTCTGAACTGACCTAGAAATGGTGGCATGGTTGCCTCAGGGTTTACAAAACCAAGGCCTTTACCTTGTTAAATAGATAGCTTAAGTGTAAATTTTTTTTTTTGACAGGCAGAGTTAGACAGTGAGAGAGAGAGACAGAGAAAGGCCTTCCTTTTTCCGTTGGTTCACCCCCAAAGTGGCCGCTACGGCTGGCGCATCGCAGCCAGCGCGCTGCGCTGATCCAAAGCCAGGAGCCAGGTGCTTCCTCCTGGTCTCCCATGTGGGTGCAGAGCCCAAGGACCTGGGCCATCCTCCACTGCACTCCCGGGCCACAGTCCAGAGAGCTGGACTGGAAGAGGGGCAACCGGGACAGAATCCGGTGCCCCGACTGGGACTAGAACCCAGGGTGCCAGCGCCGCAGGTGGAGGATTAGCCTAGTGAGCCGTGGTGCCAGCCACCTTTAAAATTTTTTAAAGGTCTGTTTATTAGTTTGAAAGGCAGAGTGGCAGGTAGAGATAGAGACCTTCCATCCACTGGTTCACCTTCCAAATGGTCACAGTGGCCAGGGCTGGACCAAGCCAAAGCCAGGAGCCAGGAATGCTATTCGGGTCTCCTACATAGATGTCAGGGTCCCAAGTACTTGGGCTATCATTCATTGCCCTCCCAGGTGCATTAGCCAGAAACTAGATTAGAGGCAGACAGCTAGGACTAGAACCAGCACTCGACGTGGGATGCTGGTATTGGAAGCAGCAGCTTACCCTGGTGTGCAAACAATGCCAGCCCCATAGGTACATATTTATATGTGTGTTTATTGCACAATTTCTACAGGATGAATGCAGTATCAAACTGAATGAAAGTAAAAATACAGCATCAGCTATATTGTCAGTTTCTTGGACACAAATCCAATCCTGATGTGAAACTGGATCACAGAAAGACTGGAAGTACAATGTGGCCTTGGGCGTTGGGCTATGGTTTGGATATGGTTCGAGTGTGTGCCCCAAGCATGCAGGTGTTGAAATTTCCTCTGCACTGTGAGT